AAACTTTTTTTTTTTTTAAGGGCAGCAGTAGCAGCTTCAATTCTTTTGGGGTGAAGGGTTTTTCGGACCCCGGGCCTTTGGGCCAAAAAATATAACCCCCCCCCCCCCCCCCCCCCTTTTAGGGCTTTGTTACCCTGTTAATAGAACCTAACCCAATTTCGATACTATTGTGATCAAAATGCTTTGAATACTTTATGAAAATAAAGGGGAAAAGCCTGCCCTGCTTCGATCATTCTGATTTTCATATCTTGAAGGCAACAGAATTGTTTTCATTCTTTGCAAGCAATTGCAAGTTCTACTCATACATGTAGTTTTGCCAAGATCAATTTTAATGGTATCAACTGGTTTCTCATGGAGCAGCGCGTCACACAATGTCCCTCCAGACGACATACTTGACCGGTGGCAACTGGGCTACACGTCAAGTCAACATTGGAGATATTATGGCCAGCAAGCAAGGAACTTCAGGTGACGCTACTAGCAAGCCATCAAGGGCAACCGTTCCAATTACTGGGGTGCTTTCTCGGACCGTCATACCCGGCCCTATGATCCAAAGAGTATTACCTGCCCGTATAAGGCATCGCGACAAGCATGATATCGTCTTTGTGGGCGATGATTTTATCCAGGTCAAAGAACTCGTCGCTGGTGGCCACTTGGAAGACATTGCTACTAAAGCAGATTTTGATACAAAGATATTAGATGCTAAAGTCATCGGGTCCAATGGCGTCACTGCACTAGATGCGGAAAAGGTACTGGGGGCGGAATTGGGTGCATCTGCTAGTAAATTACTTGATGATTCCTGGCATCGACAGATTATTGTTCTGGTTCTAGCTTCCAAGGAACTCCTGTTTCTTTACGGGACCGAAGGACCATCGGGGAACCCGGAATTCACCTTCGTCCGACGACCCTTACCATCAGATGTTAGCTCTCTCGAACAATACGGCAGATATATCGCGATTGATCCCAGGTTAGTCGATATTCTGCTTCCTTCAGCGTCTGTATCATATAGAATCTAACACGACCGCAAAACAGCTCAAGAGCTATGGCAATTTCGGCAGCCTATAAATTCTTCGGAGTTTTCTCCTTGAAGCTCCCATCAGTTATCCGCTCAGAGATGGAAGAAGGGCCAGTTAATCCGATTTGGGAAGTATGGATATGTTCTCACCATCTTGAAATTCTGGCTCTGGCTTGGTTGATAAAGTCCCTTGCTAACTAGCGGTAGGAGCGCTTTTTTCGCGCTGATGGTGACATAGTGGCCATAGATTTTCTCTATCCAGCTCCTGGAGATGACGACAGGGTAGTGCTTGTGCTGCTCGTAAATCATCTAGCACAAACTCATTTCGCATGCTACACTTGGAGAGCTTCTGAAGGTGTTTCAAGGATCGAGGCCAAGAGACTGAGGTCAAGGATACCTGCAGAATGTCGGGTTCCTTCTCTATTCATCCCGTTGACGTTTGCGACCTCGTTTCTCCTAGTCATCCCAGCAGCAATTTACGTCTTTGAAATTAAGTTGGCCGACAATACGGTGTTAACAAAACAAAATTTGACAGACCCATATGGCAGGCATCCCTTCATAGCGTGGGTTCGACCTAGGAGGAATATTTCCCACCATGAGAGAGAGGACAATCTTTACCTATGTCGCGAGAATGGTGAGCTCAGTTACTTCACAATAAATATAAGGAATGCTGAATGCAGCCGGATAGAGTCCATTGGCTGCAACGTCGATAGAGGCTTTGCCATCCTCGACTCGGGCTTTGAAGCCGGAGGTGATATCCTCATAGTTGCAGGTTCCATGGGCGATGGTGGTCTATTCGTTTTGGGTGCCAGGAAGAATTCTCGATGTCTTCAAAGGATACCTAATTGGGCTCCGGTTCTTGACTCCGTTCTCATAGGGGATCCAAGCTCACAGACTGTGGAAACCTTCCGAAATGGAGATCAAGCAGTGAGTTTTGCGAACGACCGTATCTTTACATGCTCGTGGAATGGCTTGGATCGAGGATGGATTACGGAATTACGCCATGGAATTGAGGCCCGGGCTGGATTAGTTGTGGATCAGGAAGACTTCCCAAATGTCTTGGATATATGGGCCTTTCCCAACCCACAAGCCGAAGCAACGTTTTTCTTGTTCTCGAACCCAATGTCATCGTCGGTGATGTCCATTCCTCTTGATGCTGACGATGAACTGTATATGATGGACGAGGAAGACACCGGTTTTGATCTGGATAGGCAAACCATCGCTGCGGGAAGCTCTCGAGAAGGAGTGTTCTTTCAAATCACGGATTCGTCGTTGCACCTATCTGTTCTTGGGGATACAACGCTCCGTTACTCAACACAATGCCAAAACCCGGATGAGCGTATTATTGCTGCTACTGTCAATGGTAGTTTGTCATTATTTGCAATAGCTCTCAAAACAACAGCGGATATTCACGTTCACCTCCGGAAAGTGGCTATCGATGACAGCAGCCTCCAATCTCTCGCTATTGGGCAACCACTTCCCTTGTCTTGCGAGCCGGTTAGCATGGCAATAGAACAGATATATTCACAATGTGTTCTTTTCATTGGGACAACTGATGGGAATATTCTAGTCGCGCGGGTAGATCCTGAGCAAGGTCTCGTGCCCGTACTTGAACAAATGATCCTCCTTCCCACGGGCAACGATGAATCAAAAGCCTGCGAAAGTCTCATGGTTATTAAAACGCCTCAGCGTGGTGGTCGAGTGAAGACAACATTGTTTTGTGGACTTCGGAGTGGGGTCATGGTTTCGTTCAAGGTACAGCTTGATGCAAGTTCCGGAACCATTGGTATGGCTAAATAGATTCATTCTCTTCTTTTTCCTTCCTGTATCAATCTGGTAGATGAGTCACTAACGCTCCTTTCCCCCCTCGTTTTAGCGTTAGCTCAAATAGAAGTCCGGAAGATAGGCAAAACTTTTGTTCGAATGTGCAGATATGAATCGGACGCAACGTTTGCCATTGTAACATGCGGGCGTGGATTATGGAAACTATCTCACGTTGAGGATGAAGATTCGGAAGAATGTGTTCTTCACAAAATATGGATTACGGACCAGAACAATGTAAATTACATCATTAGAACGTGTTTTTTTGCATCTCACTAACTTTACCCTCTAGCTTGCCCGTACGCAACCTCACATCGATGTATTTACCTGTATCGATACTCAGTATGGATCTACCCCAGGAGGACTTTGGGGTTCGTTAGTCTGTATCATGGGAAATCAGATGCTATGCTGCGCTTTAGAAAAGATGCCCAAAACAGTTACGAGGAAGATTGCCATCCCTGGCATCCCAAAACGGATAATTTACTCGAAATATTTGAAAAGACTTGTTTTGGGATACACCACTGTCGAAACAGAAATGGCAGCAGAGTGCATTAGGCGTTGGAGACGACCTCGCGTCGATTTTATCGACCCGGATGGGGAAACAGCTTTACCATCCTCTGCTACTTTAACAAATGAGCCGGATAGTGGTTCACCAGATGCGGGGGCCCCGCCGTGGAGACCAACTGGTGGATCCGGCGAAGAGATCACAGGGCTCCTAGATTGGTGTGTAATAAACGGTAAAATTATGCATCATATGATTGTTGTCACGACGGCGCAGTCGCTCTCTCCCTTCCATGGGCGGGTAGTGTATATCATCGCTCGACCCAACGCGCAAATTCCAAGCCAGATCGACTCGACAGTGAAACACGTTTTTACCTATGATAGACCTGTCAGATCGATAGCACCGTTTAAGCCAAGTTCACTAGTACTCGGCGTGGGTCAGGAAGTCATTTTCCAAACTCTGGATCCAGTCGCGAAGACATGGCGGAAACTGCCGAAGTACATACTTGAATCCGACGCTGTTGCCATCAATGTGCGCGAGCCATTCATATACGTCCTAACGCTGAAGAATTCACTTTGCATTCTGAAGGTCACCGACACGGTCCTCACTCTGCACGGCCAAGACGGATCCGACAGGGAGGGCCTTGACCTCGTGAGCCTGCAGGATACCTCCGGCATAACCATGACATCCAATTTAGGCGGCGCCATCGTCGGGCTATCTGAAACCAGCCTCACGCGCGACGACAAACTGCTCCGAAAGGTCTTCACAGCACACATGCCATTGTCTGTCATTCGCCTGTCCAGAAGTTCTCGACCACGAGCGGCGGCAGGGACAACACCAAATATTCCGGAAATCGCTTACGGCACGACCATCGACGGGACTGTGTATAGGTTCATGACCCTTTCCGAAAATCAGTGGCGGCTTTTACGCTTTATACAGAATGTCTGCATGCAGGATACGTCCATCTGTCCGCTTACTAAACGCAGCCGGAGAAAATCCATTGATTTGCTGGAGGTTACGGTCTCGAAGCCTGAGTCGCTGCATGTCAATGGGGATATATTGGGGAGGTTGACTGAGGGGGGGATTGGGTTGTTGAGACGGGTTATGGGGGGGAAGAGGAGAAATGCGGGTGATGATGAGAAGATGGTTGAGGATTCCCGGGAGAGACTGAAACTGGATAAGTTTTTGGAGCTTGCGGGTACAGTTGTGCCAAATGCTGAGGATCCGTTTGCGGCTGTTATGGCGTGGATGAGCCCAATGGTGCAAGTCTTCCTGTGATATTCCCTTCACTCTGCAATGAAGGATGCAGCTTGTGAGGTGGTTTGTGGCACTAAGGGGGTATGGAGAGGTGTTCTTCGGTGTCGACTCTTCTCAGCTCTACGTGCGTCGGTTGATTTGGGCCTTGGAGTATTTCGAGAGTTGAAGCATGTTGGGGAACCAGTGCAATCAGTTCTTTTCATGTTATTTTTTGTGGAAGAAAGGCCATGGCGTGGTTTTTCAACGGGACTGGTTGTGCTGGAGATATTCCCCTGGAGGAGGTGGAAGTGGATGAGCGATCACTTGTTTCTATATTCATTGCCTGTTTGCTGTTTATATTGGATGCTCACGTTTGTACGCGGAAATGTGTACTGTTTAAACACTATTCGAGCCGTGTTAGAATCTATTCAAGTAAAAATCGCCCCTTTTAGTTCGCAGTAGGCTAGTTAGTTACTGACCAGCGATGTTCTAGAAGGTTTTAACTAAATACTTAGCTGTTACAATTCTCATTTCCCCCCCACAAAATGAAAATATGAAACTAAAAATTATAACATTCCATATGTACTATATCTACATGTAGTGTCTTCCTGACGCCTAAATATATTTGAGTATAACTGCTATTTTTCACTGCCTGCATGAGTGGTCCTCTGGTCTCTCGCTTGGCCACTTTCCCCCCACCAAAACTGCTGCTGGTTGGATCAGAACTTTCTTCACCAAGCGAACTTCAACTTTTTCTCGGCCCAAACCTCAACCTTAACTACTGAACCAGAGATTTTTATCTCAGACGATAACTAGCAGCTGGACTCTTGTCTCAACATCCCTGACAACAACGAAAGTAGTCAACAGAAGGTCAAGAACATCTCGACTCAGCCTTCCACGGCTGACTCCGTTGACCTCCCCATTTTCGTATCTCCAACCCACACATAATCCGCACAATCAGCACAGAACAGATATCAACATCTCGCTGATGTCACCGCATTTACCTTCGAGGTGCCTCACGTCGAATTGTACCATCACTCCTCCTTCTCTACTGCTATCCCCACTCTCATTAAGAGCCAGACTACGTACCACGTGAAGTATCTAGGCTATATATCCTAGCTTACGTCTTCGTACGTCTCCACACGCACATCTACACAGTGGAGATCTACTGTATAACATTGATATTAAACATTAAAAGGAAGATATTTTTGACAATAAACAATCAATTCGTTCCGACTTCGTTTCTACGACAACAAAGAAACAGAAAACATGGCACCTAAGAAAAAGGGCAGCAAGAAGCAGCAGGAGAGCTGGGAAGCTGAGCTTGGAGAAACCGTTCCAGCTGCCACTACCACCGCAGATGCCAACGACGATGCTGCCAACAACACCAATAAGGATGAAAACAAGAATGAGGATGACGGAATGGATGGCGGCCTCCTAGCCGCTCTGAAGAAGAACAGGAGCAAAAAAGCTAAGAGAAGCAAGGGGACCGGTAATGATTTTGTTGAAGGGGAGGATCCCATGGCTTCTACTGCTGCAACTGCTGCAGATGATGCGAGCAAGCAGCCACAGGAAGGTAGCTTTGAGGGGGATGAAGACGATGTCTTTTCGGGGAATGCTAGTGCCCGACAGAGGGCTAAGGATAAAGCGGCTGCGTTGAGAGAAAAGGCTGCTGAGTCTAAGGAGGCCGGGGAAGGAGGCAGGATAAAATCGAAGAAAGAAAAGGAGAAGGAGAAGAAGGAGAGGGAGAAGCAGAGGAAGAAGGAGCAGGTGGGTTTTCCTTTTCTCTCCTTCTCTCCCTTTCTTTGCGGTTTATTTTGAACACAAATTGACCATGATCAAATGATGATCGACTGACTAACTGGATGAATTTTTATTTTTGGTATATTAGGCTGCGAAAAAGAAGACTGCTGCTCCCGCTGCTGCTCCCGCGCCAAAGGCTGAACCTGCTAAACCGGTTGCTGAAGAAAAACCTCAAGCTCCTGCTGCGGCCCCTCCCGCTGCTGCTGAGACCGGTGGTAAAAAGAAGAAGCTTCCCGCCCATCTCGCTGCGATCCAGAGACAGCAAGAGGCTCTACGGAAACAGCAGGAGGAGATTGCGCGCCTTGAGGCTGAGGAGAAAGCTGCAGCAGAAGAACGACAGAGGCAGTGGGAGGAAGAGGAGCGGAAGAAGGAGGAAGCTCGACAACGCAGGAAGGAAAAAGAGCGCGAGAAGAAAGAGCAATTGAGAAAGGAGGGGAAGCTTCTTACCAAGGCTCAGAAGGAAGCTCAACAGCGTAATGAGCTCCGGAAGCAGCAGATGCTCGCGGCTGGTGCGGTAGTTGCAGGTTTAGAAGAGGAGCCGGTGGAAAGGAAGAAGCCGGTCTATGAGAATAAAAAGAAGCGTAGCACGAAGAAGCAAGAGGATGACTTGGAGGCCGCTGCTGCTAGAGCGGAGGCTCAACGGCTAGAACTCGAGGCTGAAAGGGCAAAGAAGGAAGAGGAGGAACGCAAACGTGCAGAGGAAAAAGCAGCTGCTGAAGCGGCCGCTGCGAAGGAGGCGGAAGTTGGTGGCATTAAAGAGAGCTGGGATATGTCATCAGATGAGGAGCAAGAAGAGGCTGAACCAGCAACCAACGGTGCTGAAAAGGCAGAAGGGAGCGGCAAAAATTCTGAACAGCAGTCTGAGGAGGAGGAATCTGATGAAGAGGAATCTGATGAAGAGACCACTGCAAATCAACGAGCTATCGCCCAGCGAAAAGCAGAGGCAGCGGAAAGACGGAGGAAACAACACGAAGAGGCTCTTGCCGCGCGATCAGCAGATAATCTCCGATCTCCGATTTGTTGTATTCTTGGACACGTCGATACGGGTAAGACGAAGCTTTTGGATAAAATCAGACAAACAAACGTCCAAGAGGGGGAGGCTGGCGGTATCACGCAGCAGATTGGTGCTACGTATTTCCCCGTTGATGCGCTGCAGCAAAAGACTGCCGTTGTCAACAAGGATGGCTCTTTTGAATTCAAGGTCCCTGGTCTCCTCGTTATTGATACCCCTGGTCACGAGTCGTTCTCTAATCTGCGTTCAAGAGGTTCTTCGCTCTGTAACATTGCCATTCTCGTGGTAGATATTATGCACGGCTTGGAACCACAGACTCTCGAGTCCATGAAACTTCTTCGAGATAGGAAGACGCCCTTCATTGTTGCACTGAACAAGATTGATCGTCTCTACGGCTGGAAGAAGATTGACAACAACGGTATCCAGGATAGTTTGGCTTTGCAAAATAAGGGTGTTCAGAACGAGTTCAGAGACCGAGTTGATAGGACGAAACTCGCATTTGCGGAACAAGGGTTCAACTCGGAACTGTACTGGGAGAATAAGTCCATGGCCAGGAACGTGTCTCTTGTTCCTACCTCTGCGCATACTGGTGAAGGTGTTCCGGACATGCTCAAGCTTCTTGTCGCTCTCACGCAGGAGCGCATGACGAAACAGCTCATGTATCTCACCGAGGTTGAATGTACTGTTCTCGAAGTTAAAGTTATTGAAGGCCTCGGCACAACCATCGACGTAGTCCTGTCGAACGGTGTGCTGCGTGAGGGTGACCGGATTGTTTTGTGCGGCCTAAACGGAGCAATTGCGACAAATATCCGAGCACTCCTAACACCAGCGCCACTCAAAGAACTCCGTCTTAAATCGCAATACGTTCACAACAAAGAAGTCAAAGCAGCCCTGGGTGTAAAGATCGCTGCCAACGATCTCGAACACGCTATCGCTGGGTCCCGTCTCCTCGTCGTTGGCCCCGATGATGACGAAGAAGACCTCGAAGATGAAGTCATGTCAGATCTCGAAAATCTCCTCAGCAAAGTTTCCAAAGACAACCGCGGTGTCAGCGTGCAAGCCTCCACCCTTGGCTCCCTCGAAGCCCTCCTCGAGTTCCTCCGCGTCTCCAAGATCCCCGTCGCCAACATCTCCATTGGCCCCGTGTACAAGCGCGATGTCATGCGCGCAGGTACCATGTTGGAAAAAGCCAAGCAGTTCGCTGTCATGTTGTGTTTTGATGTTAAAGTTGATAAAGAGGCGCAGGCGTACGCTGACGAAGTGGGGATTAAGATCTTCACGGCGGACATTATCTATCACCTCTTCGACGACTTTACGAAACACATGCAGCATATCACTGAGCAGAAGAAGGAGGAAAGTAAACTGCTTGCGGTGTTCCCCTGCGTGCTTCGTACAGTAGCTGTGTTTAATAAGAAGGACCCCATCGTCATCGGGGTGGATGTTGTCGAGGGCTCGTTGCGTATGCTCACGCCCATCGCCGCTGTTAAAAATAACCCCGTCACTGGCGTCAAGGAGATTATCAATCTGGGCAGAGTGTAAGTCATAATATTCCCTTTCCAACACGAAAAACATTAAACCAACGAAGAGAATCCTTCTTTAAGTGTTCTAAAAATAAATCTAATCACTTTTCTTTTTCTCTTTTGAAACAGCCAATCCATTGAACGCGAACACAAGCAGATCCCGCTCTGTAAGAAGGGTCAACCATCCGTGGCCATTAAGATAGAGGGCCCCAACCAACCGCTCTATGGCCGCCAGCTTGAGGAGTCAGACACTCTGTACTCGCTCATCTCGCGGCCGAGCATTGACACACTCAAAGAGTTCTATCGACCCGAGGTCTCGATGGATGAGTGGGTTCTTATCAAGAAGTTGAAGCCGTTGTTTGATATTCCTTGAATTTTTATAATTCTTTAAATATTCCTTCCCCCCCCCCCCCCCCCGCCCTTTTAGTATTTTATATATTTTATTTCCATGTGCTGTGTTACTTTTTAAAGAGGTCCTTTTCTTAGCTTTCTTCTACCTTTTGCTGCACCCGTCTCCTTTGGCATTGCTTTACGTTTAAAATGGCGACGTATTTCTGACTTGGCAAAATATTTTTATCACACGCTTTTTTTGAATGTAAGGAACTAGAAGAAAAATGTCCGTCATCTCATATTTAAAATTTTCAAATTACCGTTTGTTCTCCGCTCTAATCATCTATCCGGCATTTTATTGATCTTCCTCTAGCTCCCCTCTTCTATCCCTATCTATCACTTCAGGGACCTAAAGCGTTCCGTCCTCTTCTATTCAAGAAGGCGAAAACCACAGAAAAAATTTAGCTAGCACGATGGTTATGGTATAATCTGACTTGGACTTTTACCCAATCAACATTGATGAATGGTATGTAATGAGCGTCCACAGAAACTTCTCATGCAAATGAAGGAAATTAGGCATCTGCTTCATGCTCTTTTTCGATTGTACACTGGAACTGAGCCATTACAAGAGGGGAATAACGTCCATTTGAGTAAATTTTAACCAAGATGTAGAAAATATCTCTCACGTAAATGGCGTATATATGCGGTCCACGTCCATCATGAAACCCATATAACCAGGCCCCTATGCATATTGTTATTCCCCTTTTCACCCATTAATTCAAAACAGTACTTTTTAGCCTCATTTTATTACACTAACTATATACATTCATACCACAACATCCCTCTCTCTCTAGGCACTCACTCTCTCCCACCATCCCACCGCTCCACCCTTCCCCCCCTGCTCTCCCAATCCAACCAACTCCCATCATAAACCCCCAGCCTCCCCCTATCATACCCAGCCTTAACCGCCAACTCCGCCATAGCCCGTGCCCGCACCCCCGCCTTGCAATAGAACACGATGTCAGGTTTTTCCGCCGTTGACGAAGCCGACGAAGCCGACGAAGTCGATGATGATGTTGCTGATTGTGGCGATGTGTCTGCCTCGGGTTTCTCAAAGCCCATACGTGTGAAGAATTCGTCGGGGGAGAGGAAGAGGGCGTCTGGGTGCGTGCCGATGGGGATGTTGAGGGCGGTGGGTATTATGCCGGTTTCAAGGAGTTCGGCGGGTTCGCGGACGTCGATTAGGATTGGGGAGGGTCGGGAGGATGGAGGTGAGGAAGGGTTTGATGAAGAGGAGGGGAAGGAGGCGGTGATCTGTTTTGTGGTAGTTCTTGTAGGGCCGCATGGAGATTGGTTTGGGGTGGGGTTGTGGTTGGTGAGGGGTCGTCGGAGCGGAGATTCTTAAGGAAAATTTCAAATTCCCTAACGTACCTCTTCAAAACCATACTTCTTAAACTCCCCCTCTTGCCCCTGACCTGCACTCGAAGCGCTATTATTCCTGATTGCACTACTAGACGTAGAACCACCTGGCGCATATAACCTTGCTTATCCACCAGACCGGGAGTTCGCCTCCCTTCTTGCACTTGTCGGTCCTGCCAATTCCAGAAGGACATGGGCAATTCCTCGTGA